TTGTGGCGGCCAATCATTCCATCATGAAACATAAGTAAACACTTCCATAGTGTAATACCATTATTAAAGGAATATGGCGTCCAGACCGGAACTGCGTCACCACGTGCCGACGCATTGCGTCCACAGTCTGTGTTGATTTGGGGAGCCATGTCATCTGCTGGTGTTAGTCCACTGTGCTTCATTAAGTCCAGGGTCAACGCAGCCGTCTACCAGGAGATTTTGGAGCACTTCATGATTCCTTCCGCAGATGAGCTTTATGGGGATGCTGACTTCATTTTTTCCAGCCGGACTTGGCACCTGCCCACACTGCCAAAAGCACCAAAACCTGGTTCAACGACCGTTTTGATTACTGTGCTTGATTGGCCAGCAAACTCGCCTGACCTGAACCCCATAGAGAATCTATGGGGCATTGCCAAGAGAAAGATGAGAGACATGAGACCGAACAATGCAGAAGAGCTGAAGGCAGCTATTGAAGCATCCTGGTCTTCCATAACACTTCAGCAGTGCCACAGGCTGATAGCTTCCATGCCACGCCACATTGAGGCAGCAATTGCTGCAAAAGGGGCCCAAAACCAAGTACTGAGTACATATGTATGCTTATACTTTTCAGGCTCCGATATTGCTCTATGTACAATCCTTGTTTTATTGATTGCATGTAATATTCTAATTTTCTGAGATTGTGGATTTGGGGTTTTCATGAGCTGTAAGCCATAATCATCACAATTATGACAAATCACGGCTTGAACTATCTTGCTTTGCATGTAATGAGTCTATCTCAGGGGTGGGCAAACTTTTTGACTTGAGGGCCGCAATGGGTTCATATATTGGACCCGGGGGCCGGACCAAGAGTAGATAAATGATGTGTATATGTCATCCATAGTAAGTATAGTAATATTCCCCCATAGTAAGCATAGTAATTAATCCCCCATATAGTAATTCATCCCCCATAGTAATTCATCCCCCGTAATAATTCATCCCCCATAGTAATTCGTCCCCCATATAGTAATTCATCCCCCATATAGTAATTCATCCCCCATAGTAATTCATCCCCCACATAGTAATTCATCCCCCATATAGTAATTCATCCCCCATAGTAATTCATCCCCCACATAGTAATTAATCCCCCATATAGTAATTCATCCCCCATAGTAATTCATCCCCCATATAGTAATTCATCCCCCCTATAGTAATTCATCCCCCATATAGTAATTCATCCCCCCTATAGTAATTCATTCCCCATGTCCCCCCTGTGTCAATTCACTTACCTTTGCTCCGCGCGTTCTTCTTGTTCCCGCGCCGTTCGGGTGTAGCATGAAAATCTGTCTCCTATGAGGATCTGTCCCCCTCGACGTATCTGCGCATGTGCCAGTTTCAGGCATTAGCAGCCGATCGGCGATCTCCGGCACATGCGCAGATACGTCGAGGGGGCCGGACCAAGAGTAGATAAATGATGTGTATGTGTCATCCATAGTAAGTATAGTAATATTCCCCATAGTAAGCATAGTAATTAATCCCCCATATAGTAATTCATCCCCCGTAGTAATTCATCCCCCATAGTAATTCGTCCCCCATATAGTAATTCATCCCCCATAGTAATTCATCCCCCACATAGTAATTCATCCCCCATAGTAATTCATCCCCCATAGTAATTCATCCCCCACATAGTAATTAATCCCCCATATAGTAATTCATCCCCCATAGTAATTCATCCCCCATAGTAATTCATCCCCCATATAGTAATTCATCCCCCATATAGTAATTCATCCCCCCTATAGTAATTCATCCCCCATATAGTAATTCATCCCCCCTATAGTAATTCATTCCCCATGTCCCCCTGTGTCAATTCACTTACCTTTGCTCCGCGCGTTCTTCTTGTTCCCGCGCCGTTCGGTGTAGCATGAAAATCTGTCTCCTATGAGGATCTGTCCCCCTCGACGTATCTGCGCATGTGCCAGTTTCAGGCATTAGCAGCCGATCGGCGATCTCCGGCACATGCGCAGATACGTCGAGGGGGGACAGATCCTATAGGAAAGGGGGTGGACTGTGAGAGGAGCCTAGCGGGAGCCTAGCTCCGCGGGCCGGATTTAAAAAGGTCCGCCGGGCCGTAGTTTGCCCATTGCTGGTCTATCTCATATATTAGTTTCACCTTTTAAGTTGCATTACTGAAATAAATTAACTTTTGCACGATATTCTAATTTTTCGAGTTTCACCTGTATGTCAGATTGTATCTCTTTCACATCTGTGGTAACGCTTGCCGCTCACTGAAAAGCGATGTGATCACTTTTCAGAGAGCGGTATAGCAGCAGCTGAGATGCTTTCAGGTGGGTGCTACCACCACCTCTTGATGCCTGTTTTTTTTTTTTTACTTTTTTTTTTGCTGAATGTCAGTTTCACATTGCAGGACTGTGCTGCGACTGTGAGCTAGGTATTTGTCTCACACGTACAGAGCAGCCCCATTCTCCTCCATAGGCGCATTCACTGACCCCCTAAGCTGCACTGACACCCACATACTGCAACTGAAGCCGGCTGCATGGGGCACAGCCATCCTGGCCTTCTTTCTGCTTGCAAACTCCAGCCAGCTCCTGGAACATTCACCCCCCCCAATGCTTTCAGCAGCTTCATTTCTGCCCCCCCTCCACACTCACCCCCTCCAGCTGAAGCCATCCACAGTTTACAGAGCATGGGGGGGGGCAGAAATCTTCTTTCCTCCCTCTGCACACATGGAATGTAGAGATATCGGTAAGGATTGCTGGTGGGGGAGGGTGGGTTGTTTTCAGGACCCCGGAGAGTAGTGTCAGCATGAAAGCAAACTCCTCTAGGCAGTGCGGACGGAGCACACAGTCGCAGCTTGCCCCATGTGTCTGTTATTTGGACGTAGGTGCAGGAGCCACCTGCAGCGCTTCACTGTCTGTGACCTGCTTTGATTTTTGGGATGCTGCCTGGGACAAGGACCTCTCGGGACAGCATTCAAAAAGTGTCCTGGGCAATTCATGAGAGTTGGCAACTATGCAGGTCTATGGAGACGACCCCTCCCAATCCCCCCTCATAGCACAAATCCCCCCCTCTTAGCACAACCCCTCCCAATCCCCCCTCCTGACACAAATTCCCCCCCTCCTAGCACAAATTCCCTCCCAACCCCCCCCCCTCCTACCACAAATCTCCTCTCCTAGCATAATTTCCCACCAATCCCCTCTTCCCTCTCCAGCACAAATTCCCACCAATTCCCTCTCCCAGCACAAATTTCCACCAATCCCCTCTCCCAGCACAAATTCCCACCAATCCCCTCTCCATCACAAATTCCCACCATTTCCTTTTCCCCAGCACAATCTCCCCCCCCCCCCCCCAAAAGAAAAATCACCCCTCCTAGCACAACCTCCCTTCAATCCCCCCTCCAAGCACAAATCCCCCCCAATCACCCTTATTAGCTCAAATCCCCACCACCACCAAGAAAAAAAAATCCCTGTAGTTCTACTTCACCCCTCCTAGCACACATGTTCTTTACTCTCAAATGTTTCACCCTAGAACAAATCCTTTCCCCCATTCCCCCTCCTAGCACAAATCTCCCCCCAATCACCATTCATATTACAACTTCCCCCAAATCCCCCCTCCTAACACAAACCCCCCTCCAATCCCCCCTCCTAGTACAACTCCTCCCAATCCCCCCTCCTAACACAAATCCCCCCTCCTACTACAACTCCTTCCAATCTCCCCTCCTAACACAAATCCCCCCCCTCCTAGCACAACCCCTCCCAATCCCCTCTCCTAGCACAACCCCTCCCAATCCCCTCTCCTAGCACAACCCCTCCCAATCCCCCCTCCTAACACAAATCACCCCTCATAGCACAACCTCACCCCAATTCCCCCCTCCTAGCACAAATCTCCCCTCCAAATAAAAGATGGATGAAAGATTTGGCACTGGGAAACACTTTTTGATAAATAGTACATTTTATATACAACTACAGAGATCACACCAGAATAAGGGACAAATGATGACAGAGGAGCAGGGATACAGAGGAGCAGGGAGATAGAGGGGCATGGGGAAAGAGGGACAGAGAGACGGGAGGGACAGGGGGACGGAGGGGCAGGGGGACGGAGGGGTAGAAGGATGGAAGAATAGAGGGACGAAAGGACAGAGAGATGAGGGCCAGGGGGACAGGGACAGAAGGACAGAGGGGCAGGGGGAGAGAGGGGCAGAGGGACAGGGGAACAGAGGGACAGGAGGACAAAGGAACAGGGGAACAGAGGGGAGGGGCAGGGGCAGGGGGACAGAGGGGCAGGGGGGACAGAGGGGCTGGAGGACAGAGGGGCAGGAGGACAGAGGGACAGGAGGACAAAGGGGCAGGGGAACAGAGGGGGCAGGGGGACAGAGGGGAAAGGGGGACAGAGGGGCAGGAGGGCAGAGGGGCAGGAGGACAGAGGGACAAATGAGGACAGTGAATCAGTGACAGTTAGGAGGTATGAAGCATGCGTGGTGCGTTTTTCTGCAACTGCAGTGCGACTTGGGATTATGGGCTGAGGGTGACGATTTCTGCCCGCGCTTCTCTTTTTCATAAATAGTACATTTTATATATAACTACAGAGATCAGACCAGAATGAGGGACAAATGAGGAGGACAGAGGAGCAAGGAGACAGAGGGGCAGGGGGATAGAGAGACGGAGGGACAGGGGGACAGAGGGATAGAAGGACGGAAGGACAGAGAGATGGAGGGCCAGGGGGACAGAGAGATGGAGGGCCAGGGGGACAGTAGGGCAGAGGGACGGGGGAACAGAGGGGCAGAAGGACAGAGGGACAGGGGAACAGAGGGGCAGGAGGACAGAGGGGAAGAGGGACAGGAGGACAGAGGGGCAGGGGACAGAGGGGCAAATGAGGACAGCGGGACTTTTTATGAGTAGGCCCAAAACAATTCGTCTTCTCCCGATGGAAGGCCAGAAGTTCGGACACCCCCGGATCCAGACAGCTGGAATTCAAATGCAGCCAAAACCGCATCCCCGCTGTGCGCCCAGTAGGCGCTGATTACAATTGCAGTTCCCTCTCCAGCTTCTAAGCGTCGCTGTCCGCTCTTCGTCTTGTTTTTGACAGCGAGCCATCCCGTCCTCTCTCCGCGCATGCGCCTCTCCGTCTCATCTGCGTCGACGTGCAGAGCTCTGCTGAGTGTTGCTTCGGCGGTAAGAGAGTCTGCGCGTGAGGGGAGAGAAAAAATGGCGGGAAGTATGAAGGACAACCTGGCCGGGGAGCCCGGAGGAGAGGTGAGGGGCCGCTGTATGTGATGGCGGGAAAACCATGACAGGAAATGTTCCCGGATGAGGATGATGTGTGACAGGGATTCTATGGCAGTATGGGATGTCCGTGTTCTGGTAATGTGGATGGCGGGCTGAAACGTGTAGTTCTTTTTGTTTACATCTGGTTGGTTTGCTAGAACATTAGAACTCGGAACATGTTGTAACGCCCCGGAGAATACAATGGTGGGTTCCTTTTTTGTTTTTTTTTAACCACTTACCTTCCGGTACCGGCAGAGGCGTCCCTAGGGTTGGTGTCACCCGGGGCGGTAACACCCCATCCGACGATCCCCGCAGGATGGATCGGATCTGCGGATTGAGCAGAATGGATGGGACTCCGATCCATTATCCTCCCCAGTCCGCAGATCCGGCACATCCTGCGGGGATCGGCGGCTTTTGCTTTACAACTTGCCTTTTCATGGAGTGGCGCACCCCCCCTTCCCCTCCCGGGATGTCACTGCCTACCGGACACGTCTCCCCCCTCCCTGCCCGGCCAATGTTCAGCTGTCATCGGTGTCACACTTCAAAGGACAATCGTGGTCATGTGACACCGCACACACGTGACCTGTGTATCATTCCTCACACAGCTTTCTTCGGGGGTCTGTACTCACGAGGGGGGGGATTTGTTTCTATTATAACATTTTCCAAGCAGGTCATTGTTCTCCTTCACTGATGTGTGTTAATGATGGTGGGCAGCAGTGATGGTGGGCGGCAGTGATGTTGGGCACTGATGGTAGGCGGCAGTGATGTGGGGCATGATGGTAGGCACTGATGGTGGGCTGCACTGATGGTGGGCGGCAGTGATGTGGGGCACTGATGGTAGGCAGCACTAATGTGGGGCACTGATGGTAGGCAGCACTAATGTGGGGCACTGATGGTAGGCAGCACTAATGTGGGGCACTGATGGTAGGCTGCTCTGATGGTGGGCTGCACTGATGGTGGGCGGCAGTGATGTGGGGCACGGATGGTAGGCGGCACTGATGTGCACAGGTGGGCACTGCTGATCGGTGCCGATCCCTCCTCTGACAATTGCCGGATATCAGCAGTACTCCTCATGTGTTGGGACAGTGCGAGGACAGTGCAGCCGATAACCAGCAGCTGTATCCCCAGATGATCGGTGTCATCGCTGCAACCTGTCTGTTATATTTTACTAAAAAAATCAGCTAATTTATTGCTTTTTTTTGTGCCCTAAAATAAAAACTTTAGTATTTTTTACTGAAATTTTGCGGTAATATCATGTGATATAAACATTGGAAGTGCCACTATTGTATTCTCCGGGGTCTCGGCTTTCAGGAAATATATTTGGGGGTTTTGTGTCATCTTTAAGCCTAAAATTATTTTTTTAAACTTGTGCAAAAAACGGCTCTGACAGCAAAAGGGATAAAGGATCAGCTGGACATGCCCCTTTCCTGAGGAGCAGCCAATCGGTGCTCATTGCACTGCAAGGTCTCTCCCCTCCCAGCTAATCCTAAGGGTGGGGCTGGAGACAGACAGGGTGGGGAGGAGGAAATAAACAGCGCAATATTAAAAATATAAAATGTTTAATGCAGGCCATACATGGGTCGAATTCCGAATGATTTTTCATCTGAAAATTGAAAACGTTGATCTCTCAGTAATCCGATGGCGCCATCAATGATTTTGAAAATCAGCCGACAAAGTCATAAAGTTCACCCCATATAACAGGTGAAAGTTCTGTTCCTCCCAGGTCATGGCTCATGCACATATTCTTTTCGGGAAAAACGATTGTGCGATTTGACCATCATTGAGTCGAAAATCTGTTGTTTTTCACGAATATTCCAACATGCCCAATCACCGAAAAGGGGAGGAACCACAAAAATCGGCCGCTGCCATTGACTCAACTAACAGAGCGAAAATCGGCCGATCAGTGCCCTGCAGTGCCACCCACCAGTTCCGCCCACCTGTGCCACTGACCAGTACCCACCAGTGCAGCCAGTCAGTGCCCAGCAGTGCAGCCAGTCAGTGCCACCTATCAGTGCTGTCTCAGTACCGCCTATCTGTGCCCTATCAGTGTCCATCAGTGCCGCCTATCCGTGTCCATCAGTGCCGCCTATTAGTGCCCATCAGTGCTGCCTCATCAACACACATCAGTGAAAGAGAAAAATTACCTGTTTGAAAAATTTTATAATAGAAACAAAGAATTTTTTTTTCACATTTTTTGCACTTTTTTTGTTTATAGCGCAAAAAGTAAAGTGCCCAGCAGCGATTAAATACCACCAAAAGAAAGCTCTATTTGTGAGAAAAAAATGATAAAAATTTCACATGGGTACAGTGTTGCATGACCGCACAATTGTCAATCAAAGTGCAACAGTGCTGAAAGCTGAAAATTGGCCTGGTAAGGAAGGGGGGATAAGTGCCGGTACGCAAGGGGGTTAAAAGACAATTCTAATTTTGCTTTTTTTTTTTTTTTTCCTTCAATAATTCCTTCTGTAAACTTTTCTAAATACATCCCCATTGATCATGTGATGTCCTGAATATCAGAGCACACCAACAAGATCTGTGTCCTCTCCTACTAAAGATTATTCAGTCTTTAACCACTTGAGCTCCGGAATGTTTTACGGCCGGTTCACATTAAAAAAACACTCCGGATACGTTTTTCCTTACAGTTCACACCCCACGCAGTTCCGGTGCAGTTTTGATGCACTTTGCTATGTTCCAGAAAAAATGCAGCCTGTTCCACTTTTTTTTTTTTTCTGCATCAGAAACTGGAACTGACTGCACTAGTGTGAACCAGGGACATTGAAATACATGGAAAACGCCTTGCATGCATTTTTGATGCAGAAAAAAAGCCCACTTGATTGCATATAGTGTGAACTAGCCCTTACCCCCCTTTCGTGACCAGGGCTTTTTTTTTAATTTTTATTTTGCTTTTCAGCACTGCGCTACTTTAACTGAAAATTGTACACTCATGCAACTTTACCAAAATGAAATTTATAGCATTTTTTCACACAAATAGAGCTTTCTTTAGGTGGTATTTGATTGCCACTGGGATTTTTATTTTTTGTGATATAAACTGAAAAAATATGTACCCTTTTTTTGGGGGAAAAAAAACTTTATCTTCTGCTACAAAACATATCCAATAAAAAAATGTTCTTCATAAATTTAGAGCAAAATGTATTCTGCTACTTGTCGTTGGTAAAAAAAAATAAAATCCCAATCAGTGTGTATTGATTGGTTTGCATGAAAAGTATAGCATCTACAAACTATGGGTGTGTGTGTGTGTGTGTGTGTGTACACACATATATACTACCGGTCTCTGTCTCCTATTCCTGCTTTGCTAGGATCAGAAACACAGTTCCCTCTGTACATAGCTCTGTGTTGATTGTCAACACAGGGCTCTGGGCTGTGAGTGGACACAGCTGATCAGCAGGTCCCTGGCATGATTCATTGGCTGGGACTTGCTGACAGACTCCTGCTATGTACAGTCACAGCAAGTGTCAGCACGGGGGGCATGCATGCGCCCCTCTAAGCCCAGAAGCAGGCAGCGGTGTACAGTACGTCACTTTGCCTGAGTGGGCCGCCCGTCTGCAGTACATGGCTGGTGGTCCACAAGTGGTTAAATTTGCAGGATGAGTCTTTTGCAAGACAGCAAACTGGTCCAGGCACAGAAGGCAGTGAAATATGCTGTAGTGGCTCAACTAGATGTGATTGGTTAGAGAGAAATATGTGCATCAAAAGAACCAATGCTAAGTGTTCTGATTTTCTATCGTAGGCACAACCCCTGTGTGTGAGGACATCGGGGACCAAGTCTTGGCTTGTGGCCAGCGTGTTTCTCCGGAGGAATGGACCGCCAAGATAAATGTAAGTTTGCCATGCTAATTGGCAGTTCTGTTTTCCTGCAGAGGTTACTGAAACAACCTGTTACCTACATTCCCAGTGGCTTCCCACACCGGGATTGTGTGTAAATCTGACAGGTGGACTCCTTTCTGTCAGATGGAGCATTCGGGAGGCTGCGCCCGATTGCTTCCACACAGCATGGCAGGTGCCGCTGGCTAAAGGGGAGGGAGGAGAGCGGATACATGGCTGTGCTGTACTTGGGACGGGAGGGGCGGCTGTGCTGTACTTGGGACGGAGGAGGGGGGGGGTGGTGTACTTGGACGGAGGGGCGGCTGTGGTGTACTTGGGACGGAGGGGCGGCTGTGCTGTACTTGGGACGGAGGGGCGGCTGTGCTGTACTTGGGGTGGGGCGGCTGTGGTGTACTTGGGACGGAGGGGCGGCTGTGCTGTACTTGGGACGGAGGGGCGGCTGTGCTGTACTTGGGACGGAGGGGCGGCTGTGCTGTACTTGGGACGGAGGGGCGGCTGTGCTGTACTTGGGACGGAGGGGCGGCTGTGCTGTACTTGGGACGGAGGGGCGGCTGTGCTGTACTTGGGACGGAGGGGCGGCTGTGGTGTACTTGGGACGGAGGGGGCGGCTGTGCTGTACTTGGGGGAGGGGCGGAGGGGGCTGTGCTGTGGTGTACTGGGACGGAGGGGGGCTGTGGTGTACTTGGGACGGAGGGGCGGCTGTGCTGTACTTGGGGCGGAGGGGCGGCTGTGCTGTACTTGGGGCGGAGGGGGGCTGGTGTACTTGGGCTGTGCTGTACTTGGGGCTGTGGGAGGGGCGGCTGTGCTGTACTTGGGGCGGAGGGGGGCGGCTGTGCTGTACTTGGGGCGGAGGGGCGGCTGTGGTGCTGTACTTGGGGCGGAGGGGCGGCTGTGGTGTACTTGGAGGGGCGGCTGTGCTGTACTTGGGGGGGCGGAGGGGCGGCTGTGGTGTACTTGGGGCGGAGGGGCGGCTGTGCTGTACTTGGGGCGGAGGGGCGGCTGTGGTGTGGGGCGGAGGGGGGCGGCTGTGCTGTGGTGTACTTGGGGGGGCTGTGGTGGAGGGGCGGCTTGTGCTGTACTTGGGGGGGGCGGAGGGGCGGCTGTGCTGTACTTGGGGCGGAGGGGCGGCTGTGCTGTACTTGGATTTTGTAAATGCATTTGACACAGTTCCCCACACACAGCTATAAGGTAAGGTCTACAGGCTTGGAAAAATCAGTTTTGTAAATAGATAGATAACTGGCTAAAAGCCCAAATTCAGAGAGTATTGGTTAATGATTCACACTGAATCGTCAATAATGGGAATAGGATTTCTCTGTGGGAGGGTTTGCAGGGCAGTAAGTGAAAAGAAATCCAGTTATTATTTGTTACAACATTAAATATTATTTGTCACAAGTAAAATCTCTGGTGCCAGAGAGGACATTCAACTTCATTCACTGATAGTGCCGACAAGACACAGAGAAGTACAGGGTCCATAAAAGTATTCTTAGCTACTGAAATCTAATATGTCATTTTTGCTACTAAACCCCAATGCAGATGTATTTTGCCACTAAATGAAATGTTTGTTCTACAGAACAAAGCTTCTAGTTAAAAATGTCAATTTGTTTATTATAATAGCGAACAGTCACTGATTTCTGCTAATTTACTGTGAGCTGCAGACTGAAAATTATTTAAGGGGTTCTCTGAAATGTAGAAGAAAAAATTGGCTCGATGGTTAAAAGGTTGACAAACTTCCCTGCAGGGCGTTTTTGTCCAGCACCCTCTACAAGACGTTTGTCCGGCATCCACCTAAAGGACGTGTTCCGGCACCCCCTACAGGGCTTTTCCGGCACCACCGAGAAGGTGTTTGTTCGGTACCCCCTACAGGGTGTTGGTCCGGCACTCCTTTCAAGGCGGTTGTTTGGCACCCCCTTCATTGCATTTGTTGGGCACCCCCTACAGTGCGTTTGTCCGGCACCCGCTACAGGGTGTGTGTCCGGCACCCCCTACAGGGCGTTTGTCCAGCACATGGTGTTTGTTTGGTACCCCCTACAGGGTGCTGTCCGGCACCCCCTACATTGCATTTGTCCGGCACCCACTACAGGGCGTTTGTGCGGCACCTGCTACAAGGCGTTTGTGCAGCACCCGCAACAGGGCGTTTGTCTGGCACCCCCTAAAGGGCGTTTGTCCGAGACCCGCTATAGTGCGTTTGTCCGGTACCCCCTACAGGGTGTTCGTCTGGCAACCCCTACCAGGCGTTTGTCCGGCACCACGTACAGGGCGTTTGTCCGGCATCCCCTATAGGGAAGTTTGTCAGACCTCCTTCCCGGGGCTTCTTAATTAGAATTCCACAGAAGTCTGGTGTTTGGTCACTGCAGGTGGCGATGCAGGGTGAGGAGAGGATCTGTCTGGGTAGGAAGGTGGCAGCTGGGATGGTAGAAACAGTCAATGTGAGGAGGAATTTCAGGCGTACAGAGCAAGACCAGACACACCCAGAAAGCGATGTGTATGATGTCACTTTCAGGTCAGCCTCTGTATCCCCAACCAACATGACCAGGAAATAATGTAATGCAATGCGACCTGCATTGCATTACATTCAGGGGATTAATGCAGGGTCTATTAGACCCTGAGTGTCTCATTAACGATGATCTGTTTCCCAAAAAATCATCACATGGGGAATGTATGTCCTGTATGTGATGTAGAAAAAAAAAGTTTTTAATAGTAAAAAATTAGTTGCACCCACAGCACATAAAATATCCCACCCCCACCCTTCAAAAAAAAAAAAAAAAAGTTTTTTGAGCCCCCTCTACACTACACTGATGACCTGTGGAGGCTTTTACAGTGTCACCTGAGGAAACTATAGGGTACTGAAAGTTGTCGCCATTTCACAGCCGCATGCAAATTTAAGGTTTGAAATGGTGGGTATCTATTTTCTCAGGGCAACCTCGTCTTATAGATTCTAGCAAACAGTTAGGTAAGTGATTACATTTGTGTGCCCCAAAATTAACTTTAGTGTATTTTTTACTGAAGTTTTGCATTTCCTAGACCTTTGTTGGACAAAAAAATTGGAACTACCACTAGTTTATTCTCTAGGGTGTCTGCTTTCAGAAAATATTTCTAATGTTTGGGGATTTTATGTAATCTTCAGGCCTAAAATGATTTTTTATTTATTTTAAGCATTTGTGCAGGAAACACAAACGGCTTTGGCAGTGAAAGTGTTAAACTCTCTAGAAAATCACAAGGCTTCCTGCTTGTGTTGAGCGTCTTAAGTAAAGGCATGAAAAAAGTGTTACTCATGTCTCTGCCATGTCTCTGCCACTACCACTACTAATGAGAAAAAAATAGCTTTGTTTTGTAATGTGTATGTATGATGACAAATGTGTGAAATGCTGAAGTTTGTTTTTTTTCTCTCGACAGTCCATCGATGCTAAAACATTGAGGAACGTCTGCTCAAAGTACATCTATGACAAGTGTCCTGCTGTAGCTGCAGATGGTAGGTCGTTTTTGATTTAAAGCATTTCCTGTAGTTGTGACTTTTTCATCCCGAAGGTTATTCCATCCAAACGTTGTTTTAGTTTGGGTGGTTAAAGTGTTACTGACCACTTGAAGACATCCTTATGTACATCTACTTCGGCAGTTTCAAGTGGTACCATGGACTGTCCGTCTATACTGACTGGGGGTTTGTGCTGGGAGGGGGACCATCTGTCTATACTTGGGGGCTCTGTGCTGGGAGGGGACCATCTGTCTATACTTGGGGGCTCTGTGCTGGGAGGGGACCATCTGTCTATACTTGGGGGCTCTGTGCTGAGGGCGCCGTCTGTCTATACTTGGGGGCTCTGTGCTGAGGGCGCCGTCCGTCTATACTTGGGGGCTCTGTGCTGAGGGCGCCGTCCGTCTATACTGGGGGCTCTGTGCTGAGGGCGCCGTCCGTCTATACTGGGGGCTCTGTGCTGAGGGCGCCGTCCGTCTATACTGGGGCCGTCCTCTGTGCTGAGGGCGCCGTCCGTCTATACTGGGGGCTCTGAGGGCTGTGCTGAGGGCGCCGTCCGTCTATACTGGGGCTCTGTGCTGAGGGCGCCGTCCGTCTATATACTGGGGTCCGTCTCTGTGCTGAGGGCGCCGTCCGTCTATACTGGGGCTCTGTGCTGAGGGCGCCGTCCGTCTATACTGGGGGCTCTGTGCTGAGGGCGCCGTCCGTCTATACTGGGGGCTCTGTGCTGAGGGCGCCGTCCGTCTATACTTGGGGGCTCTGTGCTGAGGGCGCCGTCCGTCTATACTTGGGGGCTCTGTGCTGAGGGCGCCGTCCGTCTATACTGGGGGTGCTCTGTGCTACTCGGGGGGCGCCGTCCGTCTATACTGAGGGCTCTGTGCTGAGGGCGCCGTCCGTCTATACTGGGGGGCTGTGCTGAGGGCGCCGTCCGCTTTTGGTGAACTTAAAAGTTCCATCATACCTCTGGCTGAGGGCGCCGTGCCGTGTAACTGTCAGTTGGGGGCAATCTGTGCTGAGGGGGCCGTAGCGTCTATACTTGGAGGGCCACTTTGCTGAGGGCGCCGTCCGTCTATACTGAGGGATCTGTGCTGAGGGTACCGTCCGTCTATGGGGCTCTGTGCTGAGGGCGCCGTCCGTCTATACTGAGGGCTCTGTGCTGAGGGCGCCGTCCGTCTATACTGAGGGCTCTGTGCTGAGGGCGCCGTCCGTCTATACTGAGGGCTCTGTGCTGAGGGCACCGTCCGTCTATACTGAGGGGCTCTGTGCTGAGGGCACCGCCGTCCGTCTATACTGGGGGCTCTGTGCTGAGGGCGCTGTCCGTCTATACTTGGGGGCTCTGTCTATCGTCCGTCTATACTGGGGGCTCTGTGCTGAGGGCGCCGTTCCGTCTATACTGAGGGCTCTGTGCTGAGGGCGCTGTCCGTCTATACTGTGGGCTGTGGACTGAGGGGCGGCTGTGGTGTCCTTGTCTTTGACTGAGGGGTAACTGTCGGCTCATGGGACTTGTACTTACAACATCTGGAGGGGCGGCTGGTCTATACTGAGGGAGGATCTGTGAGGGTACCATCCGTCTATGCTGAGGGCACCGTCGTCTATACTGAGGGCTCTGTAGTTGTCCGTCTATACTTGTGGGGCGGCTGGGGCACCGTACTCCGTATACTGAGGGCTGGCTGAGGGTGTACTGTTTGTTCGGCCTGAGGGCTCTGTGCTGAGGGGTCCGTATACTGAGGGATCTGGAGGGGCGGCTGTGGTGTACTTGGACGGAGGGGCGGCTGGGGTGTACTTGGGACGGGAGGGGCGGCTGGGGTGTACTTGGGACGGAGGGGCGGCTGGGGTGTACTTGGGACGGAGGGGCGGCTGGGGTGTACTTGGGAGGGGAGGGGCGGCTGGGGTGTACTTGGGACGGAGGGGCGGCTGTTCTGGATTTTGTAAAAGCGTTTGACACAGTTCCCCACACACAGCTATAAGGTAAGGTCTACAGGCTTGGAAAAATCAGTTTTGTAAATAGATAGATAACTGGCTAAAAGCCCAAATTCAGAGTGTTGGTTAATGATTCACACTCTGAATCGTCATAATAATGGGAATAGGATTTCTCTGGGAGGGTTTGCAGGACAGTAAGTGAAAATAAATCCATTTATTATTTGTTACAACATTAAATATTATTCATCACAAGTAAAATCTCTGGTGCCAGAGAGGACATTTCCCTTCATTCACTGATAGTGCCGACAAGACGCAGGGAAATACAGGGCACATAAAAGTATTCTTAGCTACTGAAATCTAATTGTCATTTTGCTACTAAACCCCAATGCAGATGTGTTTTGCCACTAAATGAAATGTTTGTTCTACAGAACAAAGCTTCTAGTTAAAAATGTCAATTTGTTTATTATAATAGGGAACAGTCACTGATTTCTGCTAATCTACTGTGAGCTGCAGACTGAAAATTATTTAAGGGGTTCCCTGAAATGTAGAAGAAAAAATTGGCTTGATGGTTAAAAGGTTGACAAACTTCCCTACAGGGCGTTTTGTCCGGCACCACCCTACAGGATGTTTGTCCGGCATTTGTTGTGACAAAAAAATTGGAACTACCACTAGTTTATTCTCTAGGGTGTCTGCTTTCAGAAAATATTTATAATGTTTGGGGATTTTATGTAATCTTCAGGCCTAAAATGATATTTATTTATTTAAGCATTTGTGCAGGCAACACAAACGGCTTTGGCAGTGAAAGGGTTAAATAAACTCTAGAAAATCGCAAGGCTTCCAGCTTGGGTTGAGCGTCTTACGTAAAGTCTATAGCATGAAAAAAGTGTTACTCATGTCTCTGCCACTACCCGTGTGTACTAAAAAACAGCTTTGTTTTGTAATGTGTATGTATGATGATAAATGTGTAAATTACTGAAGATTTTTTTTTTTTTTCTCTCGGCAGGCCATTGGTGCTAAAACATTGAGGAACGTCTGTCAAAGCACATCTATGACAAGTGTCCTGCTGTAGCTGCAGATGGTAGGTCGTTTTTAATTTAAAACATTTCCTGTAGTTGTGACTTTTTCATCCCGAAGGTTATTCCATCCAAACGTTTTAGTTTGGGTGGTTAAAGTGTTACTGACCACTTGGAAGACTTCCTTACGTACATCTACGGCAGTTTCAAGTGGTACCATGAACTGTACGTCTATACTGACTGGGGGTTTGTGCTGGGAGGGGACCATCTGTCTATACTTGGGGGCTCTGTGGTGTGAGGGCACCATCCGTCTATACTGAGGGTTCTGTGCTGAGGGCACCGTCCGTCTATACCGAGGGCTCTGGGCTGAGGGCACCGTCTGTCTATACTCAGGGTTCTTGGCTGAGGGTACTGTCCGTCTGTATTGAGAGCTCTGTGCTGAGGGCACCGTCCATCTATGCTGAGGGCACCATCCGTCTATACTGAGGGTTCTGTGCTGAGGGCGCCGTCCGTCTATACTGAGGGGGTTCGTGTATACTGAGGGCGCCGTCCGTCTATACTGAGGGCGCGTCCGTCTATACTCCGTCCGTCTATACTGAGGGCTCTGTGCTGAGGGCACCGTTTGTCTATATCAGGGATGGGCAACTGTGGCCCTCCAGGTTTTGATGAACTACAAGTCCCATCATGCCTCTTCCTTTGGGACTCATGCTTGCAAATGTCAGTTTTGCAATGCGTCATGAGACTTGTAGTTCTACAACAGCTGGAGGACCACAGTTACTCACCCTGGTCTATACTGAAGGATCTGTGCTTAGGGAACCGTCCGTCTATGCTGAGGGCTCAGTGCTGAGGGCACCGTCCGTCTATACTGAGGGCACCGTCCGTACTATACTGAGGAATGTGTGCTGAGGGCACCGTCCGTCTATACTGAGGAATGTGTGCTGAGGGCACCGTCCGTCTATACTGAGGGCTCTGTGCTGAGGGCACCGTGCGTCTATACTGAGGGATCTGTGCTGAGGGCACCGTCCGTCTATACTGAGGGATCTGTGCTGAGGGCACCGTCCGTCTATACTGAGGGATCTGTGCTGAGGGCACCGTCCGTCTATACTGAGGGATCTGTGCTGAGGGCACCGTCCGTCTATACTGAGGGATCTGTGCTGAGGGCACCGTCCGTCTATACTGAGGGATCTGTGCTGAGGGCGCCGTCCGTCTATACTGAGGGTTCTTGGCTGAGGGGCGAGGGTCCGTCTATACTGAGGGGGTCCTCTGTGCTGAGGGCGCCGTTCGTCAATACTGAGGGCGCCGTCCGTCTGTGCTGAGGGCACCGTCCGTCTATACTGAGGGATCTGTGCTGAGGGCACCGTCCGTCTGTGCTGAGGGCACCGTCCGTCTGTGCTGAGGGCACCGTCCGTCTATACTGAGGGCTCTGTGCTGAGGGCACCGTCCGTCTATACTGAGCATCTGTGCTGAGGGCACCGTCCGTCTATGCTGAGGGAACTGTCCGTCTATATTGAGGCCTCTCAGGGCTTCTGTCAGACCCCCTCGCCTGTGGGTGGCGTTGCGGGGTGAGAAGAGTACAGGTTGTGTCGGGTGGGATGGTAAAAATGTGAAGCAGAGGAGTGCAGAATTATAAAACATCGGCGACTCCCTGTGGTGTACTTGGACGGGGGGGGGTGGTGTACTTGGGAGGGTGGCGGTGGTGTACTTGGGAGGGGGGGGTGGTGTACTTGGACGGAAGGATGGCGGTGGTAGTGTACGGAGGGGTGGAGGGGTGGTGTACTTGAACGGAGGGGTGGCATACTTGGACGGAGGGGGTGGTGGGGGGTGTACTTGGGCGGTGCGGCGGGGGCACCGTCCGTCTATACTGAGGGCTCTGTGCTGAGGGCACCGTCCGTCTACTACTGTGGGCTCTGTGCTGAGGGCACCGTCCGTCTATACTGAGGGCTCTGTGCTGAGGGCACCGTCCGACTATACTGAGGGCTCTGTGCTGAGGGCACCGTCCAACTATACTGAGGGCTCTGTGCTGAGGGCACCGTCCGTCTATACTGAGGGCTCTGTGCTGAGGGCGCCGTCCGTCTATACTGAGGGCTCTGTGCTGAGGGCACCGTCCGTCTATACTGAGGGCTCTGTGCTGAGGGCACCGTCCGTCTATACTGAGGGCTCTGTGTCTATACTGAGGGCTCGTACGTCTATACTGAGGGATCTGGGCTGAGGGCACCGTCCGTCTATACTGAGGGATCTGTGCTGAGGGCACCGTCCGTCTATACTGAGGGATCTGTGCTGAGGGCACCGTCCGTCTATACTGAGGGCTCTGGCTGAGGGCACCGTCCGTCAATACTGAGGGATCTGTGCTGAGGGCACCGTCCGTCTACACTGAGGGATCTGTGCTGAGGGCACCGTCCGTCTACACTGAGGGATCTGTGCTGAGGGGCACCGTCCGTCTACACTGAGGGATCTGTGCTGAGGGCACCGTCCGTCTACACTGAGGGATCTGTGCTGAGGGCACCGTCCGTCTATACTGAGGGATCTGTGCTGAGGGCACCGTCCGTCTATACTGATATCTGTGCTGAGGGCGCCGTCCGTCTATACTGAGGGCTCTGTGCTGAGGGCACCGTCCGTCTATACTGAGGGATCTGTGCTGAGGGCACCGTCCGTCTATACTGAGGGCTCTGTGCTGAGGGGGCCGTCCGTCTATACTGAGGGATCTGTGCTGAGGGCACGTCCGTCTATACTGAGGGATCTGTGCTGAGGGCGCCGTCCGTCTATACTGAGGGCTCTGTGCTGACTGAGGGCGCCGTCCGTCTATACTGAGGGCTCTGTGCTGAGGGCACCGTTGTCTATACTGAGGGCTCTGTGCTGTTGGCAACGTCCGTCCGTCTATCTGTGCTGAGGGCCTCCGTCAGGGCTTCTGTCTGACCCCCTCGCCTGTGGGTGCTGTGTGCGGGGTGAGAAGGTACCGGTTGTGTCCGGGTGGGAGTCTAGAAATACTGAAGGCCTCTCAGGAGTGCTGTTATAAAACAACCCCTCCCTGTGGTGTACTTGGGAGGGGGGTGAGAAGTGTACTTGTGTCCGGGTGGGATGGTGAAACTTGTGAAGCAGAGGTGTGCAGAATTATAAAACAACATGGCGACTCCCTGTGGTGTACTTGGGAGGGGTGGCGGTGGTGTACTTGACGGAGGGGTGGTGTACTTGGACGGAGGGGGTGGCGGTGGTGTACTTGAACGGAGGGGTGGTGTACTTGGAGGGGGTGGTGGGGGTGTACTTGGGGCGGATGGGCGGCGGAGGCACCGTCCGTCTATACTGAGGCCTCTGTGCTGACGGCACCGTCCGTCTATACTGTGGGCTCTGTGCTGAGGGCACCGTCCGTCTACTGTGGGCTCTGTGCTGAGGGCACCATCCGTCTATACTGAGGGCTCTGTGCTGAGGGCACCGTCCGTCTATACTGAGGGCTCTGTGCTGAGGGCACCGTCCGTCAATACTGAGGGCTCTGTGTGTCTATATTGAGGGATCTGGGCTGAGGGCACCGCCCGTCTATATTGAGGGCTCTGTGCTGAGGGCACCGCCCGTCTATACTGAGGGCTCTGTGCTGAGGGCACCGCCCGTCAATACTGAGGGCTCTGTGCTGAGGGCACCGTCCGTCAATACTGAGGGCTCTGTGCTGAGGGCACCGTCCGTCAATACTGAGGGCTCTGTGGTGAGGGCACCGTCCGTCTATACTGAGGGTTCTGTGGTGAGGGCACCGTCCGTCTATACTGAGGGATCTGTGCTGAGGGCACCGTCCGTCTATACTGAGGGCTCTGAGCTGAGGGAACCGTCCGTCTATACTGAGGCCTCTCAGGGCTTCTGTCAGACCCCCTCGCCTGTGTGGTGGCGTTGCGGGGTGAGGAGACTACAGGTTGCGTAGGTAGGATGGTAGTAGCTGGGATGGTAGAAATGTGAAGCAGAGGAGTGCAGAAATACAAAACAACCTTAGCGACTCCCTGAGGGTACTCCGTGTACGGAGGGCTGGCGGTGGCGTACTTGTACGGAGGGCTGGTGGGTGGCGTACTTGGACGAGAGGGCTCTGTGCGGTGGTGGTACGACGTCTAGGGCTGGCGGTGGCGTACTTGGACGGAGGGCTGGCGTACTTGGACGGAGGGGGTGGCGTACTTGGACGGAGGGGGGGGCGTTGGACGGAGGGGTGGCGTACTTGGACGGGTGGGATGGTACTTGGAGAGGGGTGGCGTACTATGGACGCAAGGGGTGGCGTACTTGTTGGTACGGAGGGGTGGCGTGGTGGCGTACTTGGACGGAGGGGTGGCGGGTGGTGGACTTGGACGGAGGGGTGGCGGTGGCGGACTTGGACGGAGGGGTGGCTGTGGCGTACTTGGACGGAGGGGTGGCTGTGGTGTGTACTTGGACGGAGGGGGTGGCGGGGGACGTGGTATACTTGGATTTTGTAAAAGCGTTTGACACAGTTCCCCACACACAGCTGTAAGGTAAAGTCTACAGGCTTGGAAAAATCAGTTTGTAAATGGATAGAAAACTGGCTAAAAGCCCAAATTCAGAAAGTATTGGTTAATGATTACATTCTGAATCGTCAATAATAATGGAATAGGATTTCTCTTTGGGAGGGTTTGCAGGACAGCAAGTGAAAATAAATCCAGTTATTATTTGTTACAACATTAAATATTATTTGTCACAAGTCAAAAATCTCTGGTGCCATTGAGGACATTTACCTTCATTCACTGATCGTGCCGACAAGACGCAGAGAAGTACAGGGTACATAAAAGTATTCTTAGCTACTGAAATCTAATTTTTCATTTTTGCTACTAAACCCCAATGCAGATGTGTTTTGCCACTAAATGAACTGTTTGTTCTACAGAACAAAGCTTCTAGTTAAAAATGTGAATTTGTTTATTCAATATAATACCGAACACTCACTGATTTGTGCAATCTACTGTGAGCTGCAGACTGAAAATTATTGACTTGAAGGGCTGGCCGTCCGTTCCTCTTACTGGGGTTCCCTGAAATTTAGAAGAAAAAAATGGCTTGCTGATGGTTAAAAGGTTGAGAAACTTCTCTACAGGGCTTTTTTGTCCGGGGGAGAGGCACCCCCCTAACTGGGCGTTTGTCCGACCCCCTACACTGGGCGTTTGTCCGACCCCCTACACTGGGCGTTTGTCCGACCCCCTACACTGGGCGTTTGTCCGACCCCCCCTACACTGGGCGTTTGTCCGACCGTCCCTACACTGGGCGTTTGTCCGAACAAAGCGCCCCCCCGTTCCCCCCTACACTGGGCTTTATTGTCCGAGCACCCCCCAACACTGGGCGTTTGTTTGTCGACTCTACATGGACGCACTGAGGCACCTCCCCTACACTGGGCTGTCCTCCCTTCACTGGGCTTTTTAATAAGAATTCCAGGACCGCAAATGAAGAAAATATAATCCGTTATTTGTTACAATTTTGAAAAATTATTTATCACAAGTAAAAATCTATGGCACCAGAGAGGACATTCACCTTCATTCATTGGTAGTGCCGACAAACCACAAGGGAAGTACAGATTCATAGAAGTATTTTTAGCCACTGAAATCCAATTATCATTTTTGCCACTAAACCCCAATGCAGATGGATTTTGCTAATAAATTAAATGTTTGTTCTGCACAAAACAAAGCTTCTTGTTTAAAAAGGTGAATTTGTTTGTAATACCGAACACTCACTGATTGTGCTAATCTACTGTGAGCTGTAGACTGGAAATTATTTTAAAAGAAAAAAATGTTCTTGATGGTTAAAAGGTTGAGAAAAGCTGCCCTACAGAGCAGTTTTCTGGCCCCCTTCAGGGCAGTTTGTTAGACCCCCTCCTTAGGGCTGCTTGTCAGACCCCCTCCTACAGCAGGGCTTCTCAAAAAGGGTTCCACGGAAGTCTGGTGTTGCGGCAGGGCAGGGAAGAAGATGAGTTGTGTCTGACTAACATCCCAACTATCACCTTTCCACCCAATGTTAACCCTGGAGGAATTGCAGGATTAAGAGCAAGACCAATGAATCCCTCAGTGAAAGTGCAAAGCTGTTTTTTTTTTGTTTTGTTTTTTTCAGCTTTGGGGTGGCTGTTGTGCACGATGGTGGTCTGTGCTCATTGTGCTGTCTGTAGTCTGAATATTCTTTAAGGATTCCTGGATTGTGAAACTTCCACAGGGCAGCTTTCACTACCCATCCTCCATAGAGCAGCCTTTGGACCCTCATCCCCCACAGACAGCTTTTGGACCCCCTACAGATATTACATTAATAATCATGCTACCATAATAAGTGTGCAGTGTAAATTGCCTTTAGCATCACTCCTGTTTCTCCTTGCTGGAGGTGGCCATTTTGCTGAAGCCCAGAGCTCCATGAGCAGCAGTAAATCTTTAGGCTGTCAGCACATTGGCCTTTACATATTCAGCACAGTGCCTGAAAATAGCGAGCAACTGAGCATGTGTAGTGCAAGGTCACAACAGAGAGGGTCATCCTTCCCAATGGAGACATGGCGAGCAATCAAAGTACATCCACACTTCAAAGAAAAAATGTTAATATGTTAATTGTTAAATGTTGTTAACATGTTGTTAATGAATGCAGGCTATTTCCAGTAACTGTCTTCTAATTCTGATCCAATTTCTGTCTCCATCTAGGTCTCGTCAAGCAGCTCCCTGACTACGACTGTATCCGCAGTGCTATGTGCTGGCTCCGTTTTCTGATCTCCATCCAGTTCAGGGGGCACATTTTTTTGGAATAAACAAGATCTGGCCTTTGAGGATCAACTAGAGAAATGCTGGTGATTTACTTTCAGAAAACACTGAATGTCTGGGGGGCTCCCCTTTCAGCAGATGTAAAATACAGCCAGAAACATCCATTTGTGGATTTGACATGTGAACATCACTGAATAAAATGTCATTTTAAAGGAAGTATTTTAAATTTTTTTTTGGGGGGGGTGGGGGGGGGGGGGGGGGTATGTTACTGTTAACCACTTGTCCTGCAGAGGATTTCCCCCCCCCCCCCCCCCCCACCCCCACACCTGACCAGGCCATTTTTTTGTGATACGGCACTGCACTACTTTAACAGACAATTGCTCGGTCATGCAACACTGTACCCCCCCCCCCCCCCCCCAAACTACCCCCTCCCCCCCCCCCCCCCCCCCCCCCCCCCCCACAACTAGAGCTTTCTTTCGGTGGTATGTGATCACCTCTGCAAATTTTTTTTTTTTTTTTTTCACTATGAACAAAAAGACTGACCATTTTGAATATTAAAACAATATTTTTGCTATAAATCATATCCAATAAACCTGTAAAAAATCTAATTTTTTCATGAATTTAGGCCAAAATGTATTCTGCTCTGTGTCTTTGCTAAAATAAAATCCTAATACCTGTGAATTAATTGGTTTATGTGAAAGTTATAGCGTCTACAAATGGCGGTATATATACTGGAATTTTCTAAAAAAAAAAAAAAAAAAATTTTAATACTAGTAATGGTGGTGATCAACAACTTATAGCGGGACTGCGGCGGGCATTCTGACACTGGGAGAGAACTAACGGACACTGACCTCCCAGTGACACCAATACAGTGATCAGAGCCCGCTGTGTCTGGAACACCGATCGCTGTACGGGACCTCTGTGTGAGGTCCCGATTCATGTGATCAGTGATTGGCCAATCGGTGATCACATTAACAGTAGTAAACAAGATGTCACTTCCGACATCATTGCTTACTAAGTGAAATCTATGAATGATCACAGAGATCACATGGTACAGGGCTATTCACAACAGCCTTGTACCATGTGACAAGCTGTGACTAATCTCAGCTCGCACAGTATTTCTCAATGGCTGCAAGAATGCAGCCAGAGAGGAGAAATTATTGCTTTTACAGCGTTTCTGGGTGTAAAAAGCAATACGGTGTAAAAGAAAAAAAAAATTCTTCAAAAACTATAATTTTTCAAAAAAATTTTTAAACTAATTTGGGTTATTTTTTAACTAAAAAGATAGCTGAATACATTTTTGCTAAGATTTATGAAGAAAGATTTGCAAAATTTTATGAGAAACTTTTTTTTTTTCAAAATGTTTGGACTTTTTCAGTTATATAGCAAAAAAAAAAAAATCCCAGTGGTGAATAAATGCCACCCAAATAAAGTTTTATCTGTCTCAAAAAAACAATCGCTAAACAACTCATATGGGTACAGTTTTGCATGACCGTGCAATTGTCATTCAAAGTGTGATAGAGCTGAAAATTGGTCGGGCAGGAAGGGGGTGAAAGTGTCCAGACTTGAAGTTGTTAACTCCGCATGGTTTTTGCTGTGGCCGTGAAGCAATGCGTTGCAACCATGATGTGATAAAACCCCATTTGCTGCCTTTGCAGCTTGGGTGAGTGGCAGTTAGGGGTGCTAAAAACAAGGCTCAATGGCTAATTTTTACAACCTCCAAATACAAGTCTAAATGAGCCCTAAGTGACTTTAAACATGCTTGGGATAACTATAGATCTATACTTTAGATCAGTGGTCTCCAAACTGCGGCCCGGGGCTGAATGTGGCCCTTTGCTTGCCTTTATCTGGCCCTTGGAGCACTATTCCACCAACTGACACCAATGATGGGGCACCATTCCCCTGCTGAGACCATCTATGGGGCACTATTTCTCCCATTAAAACTAGTGATGGGGCACTGAAACTAGGGCATTCTCTACTCTCAGTGGCCACAGTCTGCCCCCCCCCCCCCCCCCCCCAACCCTGAGTTCACACTATTGAAGGCTGCGCAGCCTGTGTTTGCTCGGTCACAGCAGCCCATTCGTTTAAATAGGCTGTTGTGTCTGCGTCTCCGCACAAAAATGCATGCACTTTTTTAAAAATGTGGCCTCATAAAAACGGCATGGTCTTTTTGACCATTCGGTTTCCCGCACTCGTGGTATGAGCTGAGATGTGTGGGGGCGCCATTCATGAATGAATGGCAGCCCCGCTAGACGTCCTCAGGGGAGTTAAAAAACAGTACAAAATATTAAATCCATTTGGCAAAAATGCCATAAGATGCTACCAGCACCAATATTAAAGACAAAGATCAGTGTCACGAATGGTAGTTGCTGGCAGTGGCAGGGTGGTTGCAATGAGTGGAGGATGAACCACTGTGACAGATCTCAGTGAATTCCCTAGACTGTTTTGTGTCCTAGCGCAGTGGCAGATCTGTCACAACTACTTGTGCCCAGCAGACCAGTAAATGTCATAAAAAACATGTGGATGGCTGGCTGGGTACACAAAATACATCAGAGTCAGACATTACCTTCCTCAGCAGGCACAGCTCCGCCTTCACTAATGAATGGGAAGAGAAGGGCTTGAACTCCACAGTGATCAGCAGACACCAGCTGGCTTTCAGTAAGGGACTGAGTCTGAGAGGAATACTGGAAGCAGCAGCTGCTACACTGTCAGCATCCCACACAGTTCCAGCCTGTGTTGCGCCCAAGCGCCCCAAGGTGGCAGTGCTCCTAGGCGGCTGCCTAGTTTCCCTAGGGCAGTGTTTCTCAACTCCAGTCCTCCTGGACCCCCAACAGGTCATGTTTTCAGGATTTCCCTCAGATGAAACAGCTGTGGTAATTACTAAGGCAGTGAAACTGATCAAATCACCTGTGCAAAATAATGGAAATCCTGAAAACATGACCTGTTGGGGGGTCCATGAGGACTGGAGTTGAGAAACACTGCCCCAGGGCAAGCACCGGCCCTGGCGGGAACAGATGCGATTCCCGTACCCGCAACCAACCCGCATAGTGTGAACTGAGGGTGAGGCCTAAAGGACCGTAAACTGGCCCATTGCTTAGAAAGTTTGGAGACACCTGGTTTAGATTTAAGGTTAGATAACACATAAAACCCTTTTTTTTTTTTTTCCTGCTTTTACTCTTTTTCCCTAAAAAAAAAAAAAAAAAAAATTTGCACTTGCTTTGTCGCACTGAGAAAGTGGCGGATTTGTTAGATAAATACGAACTTGTTCACTATTTGCCTAAAAAAAAAAAAAAAATTAAAAGACAGTCAAACCATTTAGGACGTCATTTTCAGATACCGTATATACTAGAGTATAAGCCGACCCGAATATAAGCCGAGGTACCTAATTTTACCACAAAAAACTGGGGAAAAACTATTGACTCGAGTATAAGCCGAGGGTGGGAACACCAGTGGGAAGAATCGTGCCCCATCATTGGTGTCAGTGGGAGGAATAGTGCCCCATCATTGGTGTCAGTGGGAGGAATAGTGCCCCATCATTGGTATCAGTGGGAGGAATAGTGCCCCATCATTGGTGTCAGTGGGAGGAATAGTGCCCCATCATTGGTGTCAGTGGGAGGAATAGTGCCCCATCATTGTGTCAGTGGGAGGAATAGTGCCCCATCATTGGTGTCAGTGGGAGGAATAGTGCCCCATCATTGGTGTCAGTGGGAGGAATAGTGCCCCATCATTGGTGTCAGTGGGAGGAATAGTGCCCCATCATTGGTATCAGTGGGGGGAATAGCGCCCCATCATTAGTATCAGTGGGGGGAATAGCACCCCATTTTGGTGTCAGTGGGCGGAATAGTGCCCCATCTTTGGTGTCAGTGGGAGGAATAGTGTCCCATCATTGGTGTCAGTGGGAGGAATAGTATCCCATCATTGGTGTCAGTGGGGGGGGAGGAAGAGTGCCCCATCGTTGGTGTCAGTGGGGGGGGGAGGAATAGTATCCCATGATTGGTGTCAGTGGGGGGTGGAATAGTGCTCCATGATTGGTGTCAGTGGGGGGTGGAATAGTGCCCCATCATTGGTGTCAGTGGGGGGGGGGGGGGAGGAATAGTGCCCAATCGTTGGTGTCAGTGGAGGGGAGGAAAAGTGCCCCATCGTTGGTGTCAGTGGGAGGAATAGTGCCCCATCATTGGTATCAGTGACACCAATGATGGGGCACTATTCCTCCCACTGACACTTGCTGACCCCTGTTCCAGTATGGTGCTGCTGCAGCCAGCATATGTGGGCTGCAGCAGCACCTAAGCACGGCACACTTACCTGCATCTCTCACTCGATTTTTGCGGGGCCGCTCAGCTCCGCCTCCTCGCCGGTGATTGGCCGCCTGTGTGCCTTTCCTGAGCTACAGTTCTGGCGGCCAATCACCGGTGAGAAGGCGGAGCCGAGCAGCCGCGCGAACATCCAGTGGACGAACCGAATGAAGGAGCAGCTCCGCTTCCTGGACCGGATCGTCATGGGACCGGAGCCAGGTAAGAGACAGCAGTACCCTGCCCACCCCTGTACTTACTGTAGTTTCCCTTCTGTTGGAAGGGGGAGGGGAGCCATCTGCAGACGTTGACTCGAGTATAAGCCGAGGGGGCCATTTTTCAGCACAAAAAATGTGCTGAAAAACTCGGCTTATACTCGAGTATATACGGTATTTGCACCTGTTCAAGAAGCCACATTGCTGTTAACTCGCCCTCCAAAGGATTTCCCCCCCCCCCCCCCCCCCCTTCCTGACCAGGCAATTTTTTGCGATATGGCGCTGTTATTTTACCTGACAATTACACGGTCATGCAACGCTGCACCATAATGAGATTTTACATCCTTTTTTTTTTTTTTTTTTTTCCCCACAAATTGAGCTTTCTTTTGGTGGTATTTGATCACCTGTGCATTTTTTTTATTTTATGCGCTATAAACAAAACAAGACAAAACACTATTTTTGGCTATTAAACATAGTAAAAAATTTTTTTAAAATAAAATTTTATAAATTTAGGCAAAAATTTATTCTGCTCCATGTCTTTGT